AAACAACAAAAACCTCATTTAGGTTATGTGACCTAGTTTGTATTTTTTTTTTATATATAAACCAGTTTGAGAAACAAATTTTATTAGGAACTGTTAAATTGTTAAATTAGCAAGTGCATCTAAATATAGTTTACATTTTGAGATGTTTGTAGACATAAAGTTTAAACAATCCAAGGATGATCAGTCAACAAGTGAGCACTGGTAAGAGTTATTTTGAATGTCCTTGGCAAAATAATGACAAAATTGCTCTCATGTAGTAAAAACTAAAATTGTGAACTCTGTCTTCTACCCTGATGCATGCTCAATAATCCAGGTAGAAAAATCTAAAAAAGTTAAATCTGGTCCTCTGGACATTCAAAAAACAAAACAAAGCAAAACAACAAAAAATGTAGAAACGTTTCGTCTCTCGTCCGAGAGACTTCTTCAGTCTGAGGAGCTGTTTTCAGCTCAGTCTCTTAAATAGCACCTTCTCAGAGTGGATCAACCAGTTTTGCTGCTGACAACCAAAACCAGCTGACCACATGCTCAAGAAGGACCATCAGCCTAACAATGGATCATTAGCACACTGATGGCTGTTTACTATTCAAAGGGGGTTGAGTGATACTAGCAATAACAGCATTGTAAGAGGGGGACAGTTGAACCCGGAGGCCTCCACCCCTGTTTAATGATGGACGGTTTCTTTTCACAAAGATGGCCTCCTTTACTCCTCTCTCAAACCATCGTTCCTCTCTATCCAGGATGTGAACATCTTCATCCCTGAAAGAGTGACCGCTGGCCTGGAGACGAGTGTAGACCGCAGAGTCCTGGCCTGATGATGTTGATCTTCTGTGCTGGGCCATCCTTTTGGCCAGTGGCTGTTTTGTTTCCCCGATGTAAGACTGATCACAGCCCTCCTGACACTGAACAGCATACACAACATTACTCTGTTTGTGCCGGGGGACTGGATCTTTGGGATGAACCAGTGTTTGCCGTATTGTATTTTGTGGAGGAGTTTAAATATTGGTGTCTTGTTCACAAGTGATGGTAGGATCGAGACGGACTGATGAATCGGAGCCTCGTCCTCAGTAATGAGGGCATCGTTTCGGTCGCTCGGACGAGAGACGAAACGTTTCTACATTTTTTGTTGTTTTGCTTTGTTTTGTTTTTTGAATGTCCAGAGGACCAGATTTAACTTTTTTAGATCTGTCTTCTACCGTTATACCACTTCTCCGTAGTTAGGTCATAGAGGCTATAGGTCCAAGAGAGAAACCCAGACATCCCTCTCCCCAGCGACACTCTCCAGATCCTCCTGGGGCAGAGAAGATACACAATCCAGGGAGTTCTGGGTCAGTCCCAGGTCCTTTCTACTGCTGGGATGTGCTTGGAAAACCTCCAGAAGGAGGCGTTCAGGAGACATCCTGAGCAGTTCCACTCTGTGCTCCCCCCAGTTGATGGAGCTCCTCACCCTATTATTAAGGCTGAACCCGGCCAATCTAGAAGGATGCTCATTTTAACCACTTCTATCTGTAATCTTTTTTTTTTTGTTGTTGTTCTTGACCTCATGACAAACGGTGAGGGTTGGACAGACCAGTAAATTGAGAGCTTTGCCTTTTGATTCTTTCTTCACCACAACCGACCGAAACGATGCCCTCATTACTGAGGACGAGGCTCCGATTCATCAGTCCGTCTCGATCCTACCATCACTTGTGAACAAGACACCAATATTTAAACTCCTCCACCTGAGGCCAAGAATCATCAAAGGCCTGGAGAGGGCATTCCACCCATTTGTGGTTAAAAACCATGAACTGACTTCCAAAAAGTATGGGGCGTCTGCCCTGTATAACCAAAGCAGGAGCTGTGTCCACAATTTTGGTACAAAGTTGAGCTAACTTTTAGTGAGGATTAGACTCCACCAGGGCTGTCCTGTGTCTCTGATCCTATTTGTGGTGTTCAAAGACCAAAAAGAATCAAATCAGGTTCAGGCAGCGTCTCAAATTGCAGCCTAATGCAGGCAGTTTGTTACGGAGTGTGATGCGGCTGGGGAAAAAATCTAATGGGTCTGTTTTGGCACCATTTCCAAAAAGTGTAGCCAAACTCACCCTCATGTATCAATTTAAAAAATGAGATGTATTTGTGTGTGTGGTTTATTGAGGTGCAGATGTTTACCTTTAATCAGAAGAGGTGGAAGAGAACTCAGAGAGGTGGAGGTATGCACTTGAAAGAAGAGGAATGAAAATCAGCCGTAGTAAGACAGAGTACATGTGAGTGATTGAGAGGGCGGCTGGTGGAACAGTGAGGCTACAAGGAGCCAGGAAAATGGGGAATGTGTTAAAGAGGGGAAAAAAGAGAGTCCAGGCAGGATGGAGTGGATGGAGAAAAGTTTCTGGAGTAATTTGCGACAAAAGGGTCAAAGGAAAATTTACAAGACAGTGGTGAGACCACCTGTGATGTATGGTCTGGAGACAGTGGCACTGACAACAAGACAGGAGAAAGAACTGGAGGTAGCAGATATGAAGATGTCGAGGTTCTCCTTAGGAGTGACAAGAATGGACAACATTAGGAATGAGATCATCAGAGGTACAGCACAGGTTGAACAACTGGGAGATAAAGTTAGACTGAGATGGTTTGGACATGTCCAGAGGAGGGACAGTGGGTATATTGGTAGAAGGATGTCATCATGAGGCTTTCATAACCAGTCTAAAAACTGCTGATTTAATAAATAGGTAATTTTAGACAAAAAGATACAGATAAGAGATAAGATTTAGCAAAAGTGGGGGCCACATTTTTTTTTTTTGGTTTGGTTACTCTGAAAATAAATCTGACACCTTTGTGCTTCATAACACAGCGGGACTTTAGCAACCTGATGATACTTTGTTTTTTCTGATATAAGCCATTTTGCAAGCATGTACACACCATTGCAACTTTGGCTTTTCAATAGTAAATAAAAGCAGAAGACATGTTTTAAATTCCACAACTAACTTTTGAATTTTCTCCACATTAAAGCAACATGGCTCCTCCATTAGCTCCTCCATCTCCTGCTCACACGCAAATTGTAGGATATTAATCCCACCACTGCTGTCATCTGCAAATATCAGTGAGCAGTGGTAAAGTATGTGAAGGTTTGCAGAAGTCTCAAAACACACCTTTAAGAGGTTACCAGTTGGGGGAGTATCAGATGCTTTCGATTTTTAACAGTTAGGGGTTGGTATGTCAAAAAGTTTTGGACCAGTTGATGGAAAGATGGTGTTAATCTGAGCGACTGCAGATTATGGAGAGACTCTATGGGATGACTACTGATGGCAGAAGTCCAGGAAGAACATTCTGATGTAAAAATGCTTATGCAAGCCAAGCGGATGACCAAAAAGACGGTTGATGTGGTTCAGTTCTTCCTCGTCTAATGTGTTCACACTGATGTCACTCAGGCGGTTGAGAGGAGCTGGACTGGGAAGCTCAGTCCTCACCTCCTTCAACATGGTGTGCAGTGGAGAGCATCCTGTGCTCCAGCATCCACATGTGGCATGGAGGCTGCACAGCTGCAAAAAGAAAAGCTTTGCAGAGAGTGGTGAAGGCTGCACAGAAGATGTTGGAGTTGGTCTCCCCACCATCACAGACATTTACACCTCCAGATGCAGGAAGAGCCACCTGCATCATGAAGAACCCCACTTACCCACTTTTTGTCCTGCTCCCCTCAGGAAGGAGGTTGAGGAGCATTAAGTGTAGAACCACTAGACTGAGGAACAGCTTCTACCCTGAGGCTGTTGACTCATGAATCTCTAACCAGAATAACCACTGTGAAAAATCACATCATGTTGCTGCTGATCTGTTCCATGTTGTGTTCATGCGTGCTCATCTGCTCAGACTCATGTTCGTGCTGCTGTTTGACATGTTTTTATGTTATTAGTGCTTAGTGTATTATTTAGCTGTTTTTCTTAGTTCATATCTTAGATCTTATTGTTTTTCTTTTACATTTTATTGTTGGATGTAACTGGGACCTTGCGTACATAATCTCGTTCCACCACGAGATGCAAATGACAAATCTCTCTGACTCCATTTGTTGTTCTCTTATTAGGCTGAGAGCACCCGGGAAAAGTCATTTGTGCTTTTTATTGACGCTATATGATGGTAAAGGTCTTAAGATGCTCTGGCACCACAGTTGATATTTAAATTACAGCAAAACACACAAAAGAAATAATTTTGTAGTGACTTTATTTAGTAACAATTACAACTATTCATTACATATAAGAATACACCATTTGTTCCCCCTGAAATACACAATTTAGTTTTACGTTGTTGAACATTAAACATTCTCCGCAACAATAAAACAATTAAATCCAAACAACAGAATTGAGTCAAAATGTATCATTTTTTTTACTAGCACTAGTATTTAAATTTGTTTTTATGCATTCAGTAAACCATTTTAATGCTCTTTTTTTTTTGTTTTTTTTACCTCTATTGTCCTCTTAAAGATGACAGCTGTGAGTTGTAGGAGTGAAAGCATCCAGCAGAATCTGCATGTCACATATCTGCAGCTGCTTTGAGTAAACGTGCAAAAACTGGTTCACAATTGGGACTTCAACATAACCACTCAGGGAGAGATGGGTACTGGGGGCATCCCAGTAAGATAAAATACTACAATCCAGTCGGACTAAGAAGTTGGCTCATACTACATTCCACCCCAAACAATTAATTACTTACAGGGAACATTTTATTAGGGTTTGTAAAAGCCCCTTCACTAAAAAATGCATTATTTGCTAAAGAAAAACCTAGAAGTTTATTCTGACTCAGAAGCAGCTTTTATTCTGGACAAACAAGCTTATGACAAACTAAATACACAGAGTGAAGAAAACTGCTGTAAGAAATTAGATAAATATACTGTGAGGCCTTTACACAGCAGGAAGCCTCGAGGTTTGAAGCTATTAAATTTAACAAAGCTAATCACTGCTGCTACCAAACTAAAAGGCACCCCATCCTTAAGTTACTTTTCACGATTAAATCTTCAGAAAAAAGAAAACCATCATATTTGGTCTTGCAAAACTTCTTACACATACTTGATAAGGTACTCTGGATAAATCTGCTGTTTTTCAAAAACTACAAAGATGCTGGAGTCGCCGTTAACGCAGCTGTCGTAGAGAGCGCTGCTGCCTTTCTTCGGAGGTGGTCGGACATAGCTGCTCTTTCCTTTTGTGCATTCCCCCACCAGGACCAGAGCAACAAACATGATCTTGTTTCCGTTCCCTTTAGCGCTGGAATATCTGGCTGAGTAGGAGGCATCTCTGGCAAAGTAGCTCCCTGTAGAAATAACAATAACGCATTTCGAAATGAAAAACATGTCGTTTTGTGCCACTTTGTAGACACAACCCAAAGATTTCATGCAAAATTTTTTTTTTAATTATTGTATCTTGTCGATTATAGTTTACCTTTGCCATAGGCCGTTCCATGGACACCGCACATTCTCCAATCAAAGTTTTGATCACAAATGGCGTCAACCAGGCTGTCATCTGTCCCATGGAACAAGTATTTTTCATTCACAGGTTTCCCTCCATTCCTCTTCTGCATCTGTTCCTTCTGCCTGAAACACAAATCATAAAACTTAAATTCTTAGCATGAAAAATAGACATCGAGTTAAAAGGACACTGCTAGTTTAAACTCCTACTTATTCAAAACGTTACTAGCAGTAGTTTAATATTAGTATAGGAAGGTCTTTGTCCATAAAACAAACATATTTGTGTTTTACCAATAAAAGACTTTCCACAAAGAGGGGTTCTGAATCCTTTCGATGCTGGTGATTTTACTGAGAGGCAAGGTGCGTCTGAACAACTTCTGGATCATATCGAACTCTTTGTGGGTGTTGGAAAGAGGCACAAGCTGAAAGATGAAATTAAAAATGCGTTGATCCATAACACAATTAGGAAATCAAAAAGTTGATTACGGAACAGAACACAGCAAAGGACGAAACGTCAACCAGAAAATAAGAAAACGTTTTCAATATTCACATACCTTGTATCCCAAATCAGGCAGGGCTTTTGTATCCCAGTGTGATGGGACATTTTCAGCTGTGGAGGAGCTGCTGGAGCTCTGTGGTGGTGCACTAAAAAGAAGAATAGTATAGTTGCAATAGTCTTTGTGACACTATGTCAAATAGAAAACATTAGAACTGCAACTTGTATGGCTAGAAAACTGAAGATACCTTTTGAGTTTTTCCACATCATCAGCAGACACAAAGCGAGGCCTCCTCCTGACCTCTCTCCTGGTTGTGCATTTTATATTCTGCTGGTACATCTGCTGGGTTCCTCCTACGTCTTTAAAGTAGAGCTCGTACTGATGTTTGCCAGCTTGGAAAGAAGTCTTTCCATTGCTGTCTTCCAGGTACTGTTTCTCAAGTATTTGAGAAGTGACTGTGACTCCCTCACTCTGAAAAATAACAGCAGGAAACAAAGTACCAATAATTAAAAAGATCAAAATACTTCGAAAACTAGGATGGGATGCATTAAAATACTCATTTTTTACTTATAAATGACACAGTATGAACTAACTTTTTGCCACATTTC